ACTCTCCAACATAACCAATTCAGTATCACGGTAATATATTGTAGGTAATGCATTTATACACATCATTTTTTTATTCTGTATTTGTAGGTGTTGTCTATCAACTAAACAGCCCCTCCCGCAAGTGAAATCCAATCAACAAAATAGCTTGAGTGTGTTTTTTGCATCTACACACAATATGAATATAAACATTGTTATATATTTAGATGCACTGTCCTTATTAAGTAAAAGCCCCCTACAATCACATCCGTACGGCATAAACTGTTTTGATMTAGAACGACTGACCGATGACGTCAAGACGAAATTATAGGATAACTTCATTTATATAGTACTTGTTTGTTGACTTGGAATTGAAAAGCGAAATGAATAAGTTATGTAAAACATCGGAACAAACCTTACGAATTGAAAGCATTGTATATTGGACTCTATTTTAGTTAAAATAACATTAATCAGGTGATTTTTAAGACGATCAATTTCAGTTTCAGTTTGTTTGTTTTTTCTCAGGGTTACCAGTTTGCCGGTACTAAAGGAACTTTGGAGTAAGCCATTAAAGTAGTGAAATGTTGAAAGAGTTGTTACAGTTACCTCTAACTGGAAAAAAGTTTTTTACATGCAAACGGCTGATAATTATCTTTGTAGATGAAATATACGTACCTTGAATCGGACGATTTTCTGTGACGAAGCGATAGATTCTTCATAGCTCATCTCACTCCAATCTTCGATCAAAATCAAGGGAATCGAAAAGCCGGAATGCCGTCTTTTTTGTTGGCCGAGCGTTGATTTTGAAGACATACTGCAGGGAAGTGGTTCGTTCAGTGGATCATGCGATATGTCGTTAAACGGTTCAGGTCGGATTGACTGCACTTGCTGGTAGTGTTCAAATACCTTATGTTTCTTATATCACTTGCAGTGATAGTCATCAGCGATTCTATTTTAAGAGATCAATTAACGATTCCAATTTCCGGCGTCACGAYAATCCCACGTATATTGTTTATGTCAAAAGTACTTTACCGCTTTCCGTGGGCTGCACTTAGTCTTGTCAGTTATTAGCATTATAYAGAAAAGATACTAAATTCAACCGCGCAGATGACCAAATACAAGTAAATRATGCAGTTAATATAGCTTGGGGCTGGCACGATTTTGAAGAATTGAAATCAGTCGTCAATCAATCTGAATCAAACTCTTTTCTATGGTTTTGACTTTTGTAAAAATTGCTTTAAAAGGCTTAAGATATCCTTTCAATTAAATACGAAATTGTATCAGCCAAATTTATTCTATGGCACACATAAATGTCAATCCCTCATTTTCTAAATTTGATTTATTTCGAAATGTAAGGTGGGATTTGAGAATACACGACCGAAAGACCTTGTGGGTAGTGATTATWGGCGGTGTTTTTTCATCAGGTGAAATAATCGTTGAATGCCCACACAACGTTCGAGAATGTATTTTGAAATAGCTATGTAGATAAGGAAATAACCAACCAGGGTCCGGCGCAGGGCCGTAGCCAGAACTTCTACCGGGAGGGTGCACATCCGATAAAACCGGACCAATATTGGCCTTTATTTTTAGAATTTTCAGTATATAAAGTCGGAGTGTTTTTTTTTTCAACTCCCATGAAATACACAACAGCGTATTACAAGTTATGGCACTAATTATTAATTAGTGTTTTCGATCATATGTTATGTTGATTTCCTTATGGATTCAGTTCGAAATCCAGTTCGTTTTTAAAACAAATCCGGCGGATTCGTGGATAAAATCGACAAAATAAATCTAAAATAAAGATTCATGTCATTTCTTAAAAAAATATGGAGATAAATGAGAGACCTTCAGCTTCACTGGGAGGGTGCACATGCACCCAGTGCACCCCCTGGTTATGGGCCTGAAAGTTATCAAATGGAATGGTTTTTTCGAGGTTGTAATTCTTTAATCCTTTATGGAAAACGATAAATTTGAAGTTTGTCCCAACATTATTGTACTCCATGACACTCGTCAACAAATAGCTTCCTTGTAGCGGGAAAGACAAATGTTTCCAAGACTTTCAAACTTAATTCTCGTTTGTTTGAGAAATCAACACACGACCACACCTGAGCTGATCCTAACAAAATGTTCCACCTTCGACACACACAACGTAGAGTAATTCTTTCACTTGTCGTCAAAAAGTTGAAGATTTCAAATAAAATTAGATCTGGAAGGTCATTTAACGGCATGTGTGGACCCGAATCATCTAGACATGCAGTGATCTTATAATAATGGCTGCAAGTAACTAGTCGATCGCGCGCATGCTCTAGTGCCAGTCTCCTGTGGTTGAGACCACAGGTAACCCAAAACATAACGTGAATAAACAAGATAGCAAACGAGGTTTTCATTTTTTTACATTATTTTTTTCAAGCAATTAACAAATGGTGATAAAAAGCGGACCTTTTGCTCTGATAAATAGTCAGTTTTCGATCTTTTCGGGGACTTTTTTGGAGTCATTGTTTTATTTTTCAAGCAACAAATAAAAAGCGGACCTTTTGGTCTAAAGGGGGGGGAGGGCACGTGCCCCCAGTGCTCCCCCCCTAGTTACGGCCCTGCGGCGATAACATCACTTATCAACCGGTGTGCAATGCATGTCGTGAAATGTGGTGTATTCTTATACTACGACAGAAAACTTGTTTTACTTATTTTGTAGATTGATGCCAGGAAGACCATGGTGATCAGATCTAGTGATCATTGTGTGATACTGTCACAAAGGCTCGAACTGAGCGAAATATGTTTGACTAAGTTACTATACTACTTATAGGAGTGTCGAAGACAGAAAAATTGCTTATCTGACACGTAAATAAAGTTTATTATTATTAGTTTAATCGTATGAGGAAGTAGCTGATCCCATTAAAGAGTGCTCAATACACATAAAGTGTAGAGCTAGTTATATATATATATGATATCAATTAAATACTGTCTGATGAGTGCATAGCACGAAACTCGGAGTTACAGCAAAATCTTGCCTCTTTGATATCATATATATATTATTAGTTTATATAAATTGATTTGAACTTAGAAACATATAATTAAAACTGGCCTGTCGCTCTTTAGTGAAGTACCATTTGCACGATCTATCAGATGCCAGTTCTAAACCGATACGTTGGTAAATTTAACTCAATTTTGTTATTACTCAACTCTAATGAACAACTCTCTGTACATTCCCTTTCAATTAATTCATCCCACAATGCACTGCTGCATGATGTTATGATGTCCGGTCACTTGACAACCCCRCTGATGGTGTTGTGGGAGATGTTCCTTTTCTGGTTTTAATTATGTAACTTAAGTTAAGTTATAAAGAGTGATTTTAAAAACCTGGTAAGCACAATTTACAAATCATGTTTTTTATGTAATTCTTAGTTAAGAGGGGGCGAGTAAAGTATGTTGTTTACCACGCTGACTGACACAAATATATGTCAYACCTTATTTTGCTGTTCAACTGAAGTAGGTACCAACYTCTCCACATCCCACCAACAGGAAGTTATAAGCGTAGCTTTATAAAGCAAACCCCAAAACGTAATAGGCCGAAAAGATACTGCGTTTGAGGAATTGCTATTTATTCAGTTATGAAGTACGTAATAAAATTGTATCGAAGCTTTGTATAAGGCGCAAGTCATGCAGTTAAAGTGCACATGACACATCATTTTTGTCCGAAACTTCGCAAGTAATTCTGCGGATAAAAATATTCATGGACGTTTCATTCTTCAGTAAAACATCAAGGCTAACTCCCAGAACGGCACGAAGTCTAATTTTTAACACGTTTTTTTACAATTTCAAGCACCGAACCCCGTCATAGATAGATAACTTAAATAGATACTTTATTTCAAAAACCTTTGCAGCCAAGCTGAACTGCGGTATGACATTACAAATATAAAATTGATAAAAGGACTAAAAGGTTAGATAAAAACTATTAACAAAACACATTACTGAAAATAAAGGATTTTTTTTACAACGTTCAGTTTTGCACAGAGGGAGAAGCAGCGTGAGCTCGCACTAGATGAATTATTTCTGTACATGACGAAAAGAACTCAATAAACACTCAACAAAGCGTAGTAAGCACCAYTTGTTACTGACAAGATCAAGGATTTGCATTCAAGGACTTTTCCATCCCTCTATTCTCGCACATAATCAGGGATACATAATTCTCAGTTGCTCAATACTAGTATCCGGTTTCACTATAGACATCGCCTTGGTGTCAATTATTACAAGAAAATAGAGTCACTTTAATCCGTCTGTGAAACATTTAGTACTAGTCAATGTTTAATAGTAACTATTAGGGTGTATAGGCTACCAAAAGGCAAAATCAAAACCGTTTTTGCCTAATTTGTTTGTCGCATGTCATAAGTTAAACTATTTGGAGCTAATAGGGGGTAATAATATTTCATAGTACAATTTCTATGAGAATGACTCTATTMTAAGTATTGCTAATTGATATTGCCTTTCGCGATCGTTGCCATAAAGAAATTATTTCTTTGAATAATAGAGTACAAACATTAAATGTGTGAAACACTTTCCACTATTGCTACAAAATAGTGTTAATTAAACAACAGAAAACAATAGAATCAGCATAATTTAGCAGTATTTAGTGGTATTTATGTTGTACAGTTTTAATGTTTGTACTCTATGTCTTTCAGCTGCATTTAAACATGGATTAGTGAAGTACAAATATATAGCATTTATATAGCTTTCTCTAAGCACTTAACATGTAAAAGCAATGTATGTAACAATGTATGTTTATGTACTTTCAACAAAATTGGTGAATTTTAGAAATAATTGGGGGCAGATCCAGCAATTTTCAAAATGGRGGGAGGGGAGCATTTACAAAAATGATATCAAATTTTAGCAGGAATTTTTCTCCTTTCATCAACTTACTAATTTTCAATAGAAAATACAAATGATAAACAAACCCGAGTGTTATTTTATTTTTCAATATTTTCTTGTTGTCTTTTTCATATAATTAGCTAAAGAAATTGTTTTTGTTCAGCAAAAGGGGATGCCATGACCCCTTTGCCTYTGACAAAATTCGTGCTACATTTTCACTACAAAATCCCAGACTTTTCAAGTACTTTTTAAGCACAAAAATGCAATTTTCAAAGACTATTGTTGAAGATATTTTTTATGCTTGCASATGTTTCCAGTGAGATTTCAAAAGTAGCCACATTCAATCCAAAYGCGTGAAAGCAWTATGTCAAGTTCATCAGATTCAAGTAGTTTTCCAGGAGTTTTAGTSATTTTCCTCATATTCAAGGGCTATTTCAAGCGCCCTTGAAAACAAGTTTTCAATTCCAGGATTTTTCAAGGATTTCAAGAAGTAGCACAAACCCTGTCTGAATATGCATGAAATCAAAATTGCTTCCACAATAATTAATAAGCCAGGGTAATCAGTTCAGCATTTGTGTATAATTTGCTCATACCTTACTATGAGAAAGAAATAGAGCATATTAAGTTTTTTAATGTTTTCATAATCATCCCATCCATCAAGACTAAAACAAAATGTTTGCACAGTTGCCAAGTATACAATGGGTAGATGACTAACATACAGTTAAAAATAAGAGCATACCCCCAATATTACCATTAAGAGTGGATGTCCGTAATCATCAAGCATTTTCGAGCAAGTTGCTAGCTTTGTGTAAATTGATACACTTTCGTTACATGGGATACGTTTCATGTATTTATAGAGAGCAGTATATTCGTATCTACTCCAAACTAGAATCGAGTTCTTCATTTAGCATGTTTTGAGTAAGTTTTGTTCTGATAAACTTTGCTTTTGACGAACTTTAAGGTCCAATTATGCCCAATTTTAAGCAACTTTGGCGTCACGTAGCATCGCGTACAAACATTTGCCCAAAGAAAACTTTACATTGTTTGAAAGATCTGTCTTTGGAGACTCTGTATTCGAAGTTTGAAGGACTTTGAAGGTTAAGCAATTGTGCTATTGATATTTTTGTAAGGTATACTTTTTCTAGACAAAAATATCGTCTTCGAAAATAAAATTATTTCGGTACGAAATAAACGCCGTACCGGGCTGAAAAGCAAGCACAGAGTAAAGAAAACATTGCGTTACAATAATCCAAAGTTAGTTTTGTGCTTGCATTACTCAAATTGACATAGCGAGCTCACAAAGTGGGACCAAAATTTGCCTTGAAATCTACAATTTCCGGTGCCCTCAACTAATTTGCATATATCTCCCCCAAAACACGATATTCAGCCAAACTAACTACACAGCGTTTATAGGGACACTCTACCCTATCAATAGTAAAAGTATGAGCGAAATCGATTTTTCAGGGTTTGCCGCCTTTTGCTTGATTTTTACGGACATCTGCTCTTAAAAGTCATAATAACTAATTAGCCAATTGTTACTATCTGGGTTATGTTCGCCTTCAGCTAATGTCTTCTCTATGAATGTACCATGACCATTAACATCAACAATGACCACAGTACTTGTTCTGAAATAGGAACATTATCATAATCCACTTTTTGTTGAGAGAAAAAGAATTAAAGAAAAAGAAGGGAAAATGGATAAGATTGAGCAAGTGAGTGAACAAAGACCAAAGTAGAAAGTGGAATGAAGCCTGAATGGAAGGAAGAATAAATGAACTAAATGAATGAACAAAAAAAATAACAATATGATGAAAGTGAAAAATGGATGAGTGGTACAAATGAAGCAATAGGTAGATAGTGATATACAGACAAAATTCAAATTGTTAAGCTGACCTTGTTCCATAACCATATTCTGGAAAATKGACAAATATTGCCCTACAAGCCTCTTTGTACTCATGTGGCAAGCTTTCATCAAGTGGATTACTTGTATAACAGCCATCATCTTCATCAGGAAAATGTCTGACAAAAAAAATAAAACGTGAATTGATTATAAGATAAATAGATTTCAAAAATGACAATGAGATAATTAGAATTTAGGGGCTTCCTTTTGCTTTCTCACTGTTTKCAAATAACATTAATTAGTACCTATTTTGAATACAACACTCCTTACAGGTAGTTTGTGACTTTCAGAGCAAATATCTCAGAGCAAGGAAGATAATCATCTTAAATAACATGATATTGTTATAGGAGAGAAGAATATTGCTAGCTCTTGACTAGAAGCACTTGATAATTAWTTTTTTCTTATAAATCTACAGACCATAAGGCAATCAATTTTGTCTTGCTAGCTAACCTTCTCCTTTCACTCAAAAGTGCAAAAAGTTTGTCTACCATATCTTCTTTATCTGATGATGTTYGGATAACTTCAGTAAACTTTTGYTTTCCATAAACAACTTTAGGCCATGGAGAATTTAGCAGTCTATTTGAAAGCCCATGAAATCCAGGTTCCAATCTCTGCACATTTTTCTCCTCCATRTTACAGTAACTATAAACTTTTATTTCACTTGTTGAAGGCATTTCACCAACAAGAAGGTTGAATCCATTGTATAGAGGACCATTGTGCTGGATTTTAGTCATATAATCTTCAGCACTTTCATTACTAGTCAAAAAATCTGTTACCAAACAACCTCTTCCTAAAGCTTCATYTGAAATCGCTTCAAATGATTGCCGATAATTTGTTAAAAAACCAAATTTTCCAGTTTTTGAAATACCAAGCCAGGTGCCTCCTTCTTTTCCTGGAAATAGGTCAACACCTAAAATAATAAAAAACACTTGCTTTAGCTAATAAAATACATGCATTCATCAACTTTTCATTAAAGGCCTACGTGCATCCAGAGGCTTTGAAATCGTTCCTTTTATTTACAAATTATCTCTTGTTGAAAGGTGCTTATTGACTCTTGGATACATGCAGGCCTTTCGTTTTAAGCATATATTCATGAGATCATCTCAATCATCATTGTTATCATGTGCTCTCTCCAGGTGATGTTATTGCTGGAAAGATGTCAGACAATGAAAACATCTTTAAGCTTACCTCCTAAAACATAAGGATTTGCTATCCAAAATTTTGCWGGTGCTGTTGGCCTACTGTAGAACTCATCTCTGTTTGAGGCAATGATCAATCTGTATCCTTCTGGTCCAGGATTGTCATTAAAGTACAAAAAAACAATACACATTCTTGGAAAAAATAACCTGAAAAATGCCAAAATGTGATTCATCATCATTCATCATGCAAAACTTKTATTTTCAACGAATAACGAATAAACTTATAACTTAAGCTTACTTAGCAATAATGAAATAATCAAACACAGTCACAGCAAATATTGCCGCCTACCTTAATTTATGTGAAAAGCACAAAGGAAACCTTTAGGMTAAACAAAGTGGTTACTGATAATGTGTGCACATATAAGACTTAAGTCTTATAAAAAAGTGCATTTGAGAAATTTGTGCAAAGTCACGAATATTAAGCTGCAAGGCGTTCCGTACAATTACTGGGGAAGGGGCTGGGTTCTAATTGACGTGAAAGAGAGGCTAGTGGTAAACATGGCCGATATATCAGACTTTGAACTAAAATCCTTTTGCTTTCTCACATAATTTTAATACTAAAATGGACGAAGAGGGTGAATCCTCTTTGCAGGATCTTCCTGAAGGTTTGTATTATTTTATATATAAATACATTTGTCTCTAGAGCTTCTTAACACTGTATTTTTATTAATTTCCTTGCATCGTTGCAGACGTGGAGATTTTAAAGGCAATGATTGTCGACTTGAAGAAGAGAGAACAAAAACTGATCCAAGACAAACAGACCACTGAGAATGAATTTGGTAAACAGAGAGCTAAAATCAAAGGGATATTCATGTCAAAAGAAGGTAACTGTTTCGTTTGTAGGATGCACTAAGAAGKCGATTTGAGGCTTTCTCATCAAAAACGCAAGACTTAAGCTTATTCGAGTATGTTTACAACTGGTACGAGAAGGATTTTGCATGAATTAATCGTCAGACAGTCACAATCATCGCAATAAAAGTATGATATTGTGGAGTTATTGTTTTACCATTGCAATGTGTCTTGTATTAAATAAGACCGTTATTTATTTGGTTGATGATTTGTTCATGTTATATAACAACCTAATGATAATCGTAGAAGCATAATTATTTAGGTCCATTATTTATCCTTTCAGATATTCGAAATAATTAAAACATTCGTCATACCTCTCAAAGTAATGTTACAAATAATGATACTTTTATTATTTTATTAAACTCATTGCGAAAATCAGCAGTTTTACATGTTTATTCATATTAAGCTGTGCCTGCTGTATTCTAATCATTTTTATTATTATTGTTAAGTCCATTGAGACTAGATGGAATGGGCTATATAAGCATTAAATTTATTTTTATTATTATTATTATTATTATTATTATTATTATTATTATTATTATTATTATTATTATTATTATTATTATCCTATTTTGGTCAATGATATATTGTGGTAGATTTTGTATGACTGTGCAATGGTTCTGCATGGAGAGGTATAATATAGATGCTGTAGTAGGCATGGATAATAAAAAGTTCATAGTACTGGTCAACCCTGGCATAACAGTATCTTGCACTGTCCATAAAAATTCTGTTTTAATTACAAAAGGCATAAATCATTAGCATCCCTGAGTTTTGAAATTCAATGTAACTATTCATTATTGTTAGTCCCTGAATACTTACTTAAATAACTGTTTATTTATAACAGAACATATTGACAAACTTCAAAGAAAGCTTGCAKCAGTCGAGGCTGAAGTAGAGGAATCCAAGTCATATCTTAAGTCAGTTGTGAATGAATGTGACACTCTTCGCACTGCTACKTCAGTATTGGAAGCCTCACAAAAAGAAGAGGTTGAAGCATTGAATACTAAACACCAGGAAGAAATAGCTTCTTTACAACATATTATGAGAGGTAAACAGTCASTTTATATCAGGCAAAGATCCTTTTCAACTAGYTGTGTTGTGAGATTGAACCGGTTCTAGCCTAGCTAAAGTGTTTACAAGCTGAAATATATCGGATTTTTGCCAGTAAATGTCCACCTTGGATTTGGTCCGATGTCTTCTTGTTGCATATTCTAGAGTGAGACAACGGCATTCCTGCTACTGGGTATTAAAAACATAGCAACTTCTCCATCAAATATTGTTTCTGTGGCATATAAGGCCCTATTAGCCTTAATCCAGGGTTAACTCTTAGAAAACCTAYGGATTTAACCCTGAATTAAYGCTAATCAGGCTTTGAACAACCCGGCCCTGCTGACAAAGATGATCTAGATGTATGTTTTCTCTGATCAACAGAGGCTGTACAAGAGGCCAGATCCACTGCAGCTCAGCARTTTGAATTTGAAAGACATTCATTAATAAATGCAAATAACAAACTTGAAATACAAGTCAAAGAACTTCAAACTAAGTCAGGAAATGACAGTAAAGGCATGATGTCAGCTATGAGTGATGCTGTTGTTGGAGTTGTAAGAAGATCAAGTCCTTCAAGTCAGTCTAARGATAAAGAAGGAAGTACTCTTGAGGAAGGCATGAAAAAGGTAATCATGTTAAAATCTGTTGTAAATTTCTTTGTTTCAAGAATTTCATGATGTCTATGCTTTTTAGGCTCAAGAAGATGCAGAGGCCTGGAAAGCAATTGTAATGCCTCTTGARCAGGTAAACTAATAAATCAATCAGTCAAATAATGTATTCATCCATCAATCAAATAATCAGTTTCACTCCAGCAGCATGATGTAAGGGATGCAATAAATGAGTAATATATTGATTGAATATTGATTATTCATTATTTCCTAAATGGAAYTGTTTCTACTTTGTTATTCTGGAATCAATACTAGTTTACCCTTGTTCTGATTTGTTCAATTCTGTTTTACAGGAACTTGAAAGCATAAAAGGACTGTTAAAAAATGAAAAAGAAAAATYTCAAGCACTGGAGAAAAAACTGAAGGTCAGTATTGAAAAGCATGTGACCTAGCAGATATACAATCACCAACTACAAGTTAGAACCTGAAACATCTTTTAATGTAATAGTTTATACAATCACAATATTCTTTGTGAGGTTACCATTTCAACACAAATAAAAATGATTGTTAATATATATCATAGTTAATTATTAACTATGTATATATGTTGTAGTTCAGGTTCAATATATTTTTGAGCCAGTTTAATCTAATTTGTTCCAGTACAAGACTTCTTGTACTGGTCTTTTTTTTTTAACTGATTTGTACTGGATTGAGTTATATTGGACTGGCTCAAAATAAACTGAACCAGTTCAGAAGAAATTGAACTGGTCCAAAATCATATTGAACCTGAACTACAACATATATTATAAAATTGAAAAATTGACATTGCAAATTGAATTGATTACAAGGCAATGGAGAAAGACGCTCTAAAAGCAACTGATGGAAGTACTGGTAAAACAGTAGAAGAGCTTGAAGAGAAGGTACATTGCAACTGTTTTGTTTGCTAATAATTATGACTCAGAGTAGACATTGACAAATACAATGCTCGCTTGGTTAATAACATGTCATAATACTCACTGTAATAACCTTTGTACTATACAGAAAGTATAACCTTGAAGTGACTTCTTTTCAGGTCAAAGAATTAAATCAATATTTAGACTCTGAACGATCATCAAGAACAGACCTGGAGATGTTTGTGGCTGTTTTAAATACACAAAAAGGTAAAAAAATGGATTCTGGGATGAAAGAGGGGTTGAGTGGTTTCATGAATAAAATCATTGAATGGAATTATGGGCTTCATGTGAATGTGTTAATTAAACTGATCTATCGACATGTTTTAAATTGGTTAAACGTTTTTTAGGAGTTTTACAAGAAGATGCTGACAAGCTTAGAAAAGAAATCCACAATGGTTGGTATATTCTGACTTGAATCTGTTTCACTCARCAGTGTTTAATTGATACGTTTATCTTTCACTAGTTTGTAAACTACTTGAGGAAGAGAAAACAGCTCACAGAGAACTAAAGAAAACATGGCAAATGGCAAATGATCAGTTTCTGGATAATCTTCAAATTCAGGAATCAAAGGTGAACATAATGTGGAATCTTATGACTGATGAACAACAGCTAGCATACAAAGAGCAACAAAAARCAAACAAYCTACCCAAAGTGGGAAGGCTTATTGATATTGGTGCCTCACTTTCACCTGTATCTTCTATTGAGGTGAGCAATGATAACAATGTGYACAATATTGGTCAACAACTACCATTTCATTGTCACTGGACATGATTGTAGCCTTGATATAGAAATAAAGGAAAGTTATAGTGCTTAGAAGGAGGTTATTCCAGGAGAAAGACCCTTGGAAACAAATTCTAAGAAATTAATTTCCAACCTCACTGGGATTCGAATCCAAGACCCTTGGATTTGTACTACCAATGCTCTACCAGAGCTGAGCTACAAGGTCAGACTGGGAGCAGGTCAGGGTGAAATAGATGTTAGATTTTTTTTTTCAAATTTATTTCCAAGGGTTTTCTCCCTGAACAACCTCTAATCACTATAAATTTCTTTTATTTCTATATCATGTATCTCATAGTGCCATGCGCTCCTCATATTTATATCTTTAAATTGTAGTCTTGAATTGAACATGTTATTTGATTACACACTATCAATTCAAATGTATTGAGATATTTTGATATGAGAAATGGGGAATTGTAATATCGGAGAAAGGTGATATGTTCTATATGCGTTCAATATTTTTGTTTTATTTTTTAGAAAGCCGTAGATGTTGCCCAATCCTTACATACAACACAATCAGACATGTCCAATATCTCTGGTCTTTCAGCTTCAATCTTATCAAGTGAGGTTTCAGACGGCTACGATGATGGAGCAGAGACTCGTAAACGATCACATTCAGCATCAGACTCTCATTTAGAAGGTATGCAATCCATTTGCAGCAGATTTCATATCCTTTTTACAATGGTAAAGATCACGGTATGGACTACAGAGACCAACCCTTTTATACCGTACTCTGTTGTCCTTGTGCACAAGTCACAATGATCCAACCCCRCCTAAATGTTGACACCACAGAAAATATATCACAACTACAGGAGCAGTATGAAAGTAGCTGAGCAAGTTATCAAACAGTCCTTCAATATTATAATAACTTATAGATAAATAGCAGCATGAACAATGAAGTGGTATATTATTGTGGATATTATTGCTGTTCTRTCATTATAGAGGCGATTGTTGTATTTTGAAGTGTAAAAGTATACTTTCCCAATAAGAAAGGACAAGGTGTATATATTTAAGGCCTTTAATAGGTTCAGTAGTCCTTCATAAGATGAAAACAGAGATTTTTTTKTTWWARKTTT